CTAACAGAAGCAACTAACATGAATTAGTATGTGGCTAGCATGTTTTTAGCATGGATAATATTGCTAACAGAAGCAACTAACATGAATTAGTATGTGGCTAGCATGTTTTTAGCATGCATAATATTGCTAACAGAAGCAACTAACATGAATTAGTATGTTGCTAGCATGTTTCTAGCAGGGATAATGTTGCTAACAGATGCAGCTAACATGAATTTGCTAGTGGCTCCAGCACAGTTGACTGGATTCTGTTATTAATATGTTGCTATTGTGTGGAGGTTTGAGCTCATACTGAGGCGGTTTGCAGACCTATCTCAGAGAACTCTCGAATCCTCATGCCGGACTGCAGCCGCGGCTCCTCGATGTGCAGGTTTTTGGTCTCTGCGTTGGTGTTGTTGGTGAACTGGATCTGCACGGCCACCATGTTGGGGTCTGGACTGAAGGGCTGCCTGCTGAAGCAGTACTCCACCGCCAGACCCTCGCCCGTTATACGGTGCAGGAGCTCATACATCTTTATTGAACCGGATGGTGCGATAGTCTGCAAGAAAATAGTAAATTCATATGAATAATACAGTCAGAATTATTAGCCCTCCTGAATTATTAGCCCCCCTGTGTTTATTTATTGGGGAATGGATGACTCAATGTAGATGTATTTGTATTTTGGCGCATGCAGGACTCACTGTAGGGGCCAGAATAGTGTCGGTCAGTGACAAACCCTCCAGATCAGACACCAGACTACTGGAAAGGAAGTTAACTGGAGTCACCGGAGCCGATGCTGGAGCCGGTTCAACTGAGAAACACAGATGATACATGTTTATATTCAGCCATTAGAGTCTCAGGTCTTGTACAGTGGTTTTACTCACAGTCATCCAGATCCAGCAAAGACATTTCTTTATTCTCCTTCTTGCTCTCTTTTTTGGATGGTTTGGGAGGTGGTTTTGATACGGGCGCCTGAAGGAAACAAGAACATTTAATCAGTGGTGTAAAATAACTAATTATAAATGCTTAAATTACTGTAATTGAGTAGTTTTTCTCAGGAATTCTAATTTACGGAGTAGTTTTAAAAATGTGTACTTTTACTTTCCCTTGTGTGCATGTTTAGTGCAGTATCAGTACTTTTACTCCACTACTTTCCTTCAAACTGCAGTCACTACTGTATTTTTTCTTGTCTTTGGGGATTAGAAAAATCAGTCCTGTGGTTCCTGTCCAATCAAATCGCAAACAGAAGGTGAATCGCATTATAATACTCTACCTCAAGGGAGCTTTATAATTGCAGCAAACTGTTTGGAAGCATTAAAAGTGTCCAAGAGGATGTACAAAATCTTTACACGCATTGACCCAGAGAGTGTTTAGATGCATGTCACTGATGAGAAGATGACAGGTGTTTACTGTAAGATGAATGGAAATGGCCCTTATCACTGAGCAGGCACAAGATGTCAACATGACGTCACATGGGGACGCTGCATTTTGTTTGGGAATGAAAATCGAGTTGAAGTCAGAACTAGACGTTAGGCCGACGTCAATATCCAACGTCCAACCAAATATCAACGTCTAACGCCCGATTCACACGGGGCCTCAGCGTCAACTCTTGACAGAGGGAGTTTCTGAAGTTGGACGCGATCGTCATAGCAGCGTCAGCCAATGAAATTATGTCTTTAATCGGCTACTGTCTGAGCTGGTGTATTTGCATAAAGCGACCTGATTGGCTGACGATTTCGTTGCCACTTGAAAAGTTGAGAAATTCCCAACTTTTTCAGCAAGCAGCGCCACTGATGGATCCACAATGCAGTTTGGCAACGCCTGACGTCACCCATTCAAAATGAATGGGAAGTGTTGACTCTGACGCCCTGTGTGAATGGGGCGTAATGATGTTACAGCTTGGCGTTGTGTGGATGTTACTACTATGACGTCTATCAGATGTTGGATTTTGATTGCCATAACTGATGAATAAATGTCAGTGTTTGACGTTAATAAGAGTTAGTTTAAGATGTTGACTCGACGTTGGATTTTGGTCACTTTCTAACACAACCTAAAATCAACCAAACATCGACGTCATTATTGGACATAAAAATAAAGTTGTCCTTAGACGCTGGGTAGACACTGAATTCTTGTCACCTGACATCACAACCTAAATCTAACCTAATAATAATGTCTTATGACGTTGTGTGCCTGCTGGACAATAACTAGATGCCCTACAGAATGTTACGTTTACACACACCCACAAATTACATGTAAACAAGTCAGCTTTTAACAGTGTAATACTCACTACTCATGAGGACTGTCTAAATGTCTGCTTTTTACTTCCGATTCTAGATAGTAGGCTAGTATTCTCTTCAGTATTCTACATAGTATTCTATACTCCCGGTTCTAGCTAGTTGGCTAGTATTCTATTCAGTATTATACATAGTGTTCTATACTATCGATTCTCATTAGTAGGCTAGTGTTCTATTCTAAACTGGTCAAACCTTCTTCTTTCTGATGTCAGTGTCTGACTCAGACTCCTCCTCTGACTCTTCCTCTGACTCCTCCTCCGACTCGCTGCTCTCTGATTCGCTGTCTGATTCTGACACACTTTTCTGATTCTTCACCATCTTCCTGCTTCGTTTCCTGTCCTCGGCACCACTGCTCTGCTCACTGTACAGATAATGAAGAAGAACATCATGATGAATGGAGAAAGGATCTGATGGAAACACAGTCTATGTAAAAACAACAATAAAGTAAACATTGGCTGGTGTAAGTTTGTGGATGTTGTACCTTTCTGCACTCTCCTCCACCGCCTTCCTAGCTTTGGTCTTTTCCAATCTTTTCTTCTTTTTCTTCTGATCCTCTTCGTCTTCCTCTTCCTCCTCAGATTCGCTCTCTTCTCCGCTGTCTTCGCTCTCTGAACCGGATCTGGCGGATCTGCTTTCTTCACTGCCGCTGGCGCTTTCTGACCCGCTGCCTGAATCTGATTCTGCAGTGAGTGAACAAGCAAAAAATAAATGAATAAATAAATAAATAGATCACACTGCTTAGGGGTAGGGCTGTCAATCAATCAATCAATCAATCAATCAATCAATCAATCAATCACACTGCACAGGGTTAGGGTTAGCAATCAATCAATAAATTATTAAATAAATAAATAAATAAATAAATAATATCACACTGTTTAGGGTTAAAAATAAATAAATAATATATTCATTCATTTTCTTGTCAACTTAGTCCCTTTATTAATCCAGGGTCGCCACAGCGGAATGAACCGCCAACTTATCCAGCACATTTTTACGCAGTGGATGCCCTTCCAGCCACAACCCATGTCTGGGAAACATCCACACACACTCATTCACACACACACACACTCATACAGTTTACAATTCACCTGTACCACATGTCTTTGGACTTTGAGGGAAACCAGAGCACCCAGGGGAAACCCACGCGAACGCAGGGAGAACATGCAAACTCCACACAGAAATGCCAACTGAGCCGAGGCTCGAACCAGCGACCCACTTGCTGTGAGGCACCAGCACTACCACTGCGTCGCCATAAATAAATAAATAAATGAATAAATGAATAAATAAATAAAACAATAAATAAATAAATAAATCACATTGCTTAGGGTTATAAATAAATAAATAAATAACACTACTTAGGGGTAGGGTTAGCCAAAAAAAATAAAAATAATAATAATAACTAAATAAATAAAATACTGGTTAGGGTTAGCAATAAATAAATAAATCACACTGCTTAGGGATAGCAATAAATAAATAAATAAATAAATAAATAAATAAATAAATAAATAACACTGCTTAGGGTAAGGGTTAGCCAAAAAGGTCACACTTTACAATAAGGTTCATTAGTTAATGTTAATTAATGCATTTACTAACATGAACAAACAATGAACAATACATGTACTACTGTATTTGTTCTTGTTAGTTAACGTTAGTTAATGAAAATACAGTAGTTGATTGTTAGTTCATGTTAACTCATGGTGCATTAACTAATGTTAACAAGCATGGACTTGGATGTTAATAATGCATTAGTAAATGTTCAATTATGATTAATAAATGCTGTACATGTGTTGTTCATGATTAGTTCATGTTAGTAAATGCATTAACTAAGGAACCTTATTGTAAAGTGTTACCGCCAAAAATAAATAAATAAAAACCCGTAAATAAATAACACACTGCTTAGGGTTAGCAATAAATAAATAAATAAATAAATAAAAAAAAATAAAAAAATAAAAAAAAAAAATAAATAAATAAATAAATAAATAAATCCCAATGTTTAGGGTTAGCAACAAATAAATAAATAAATAAATAAACAAATAAATAAATCACACTGCTTAGGGTTAGCAATAAATAAATAGACAAATAAACAAATCACACTTTATAGGGTTAGCAATAAAAAATAAATAATCAAATAAACAAACAAATAAACAAATAAATAAATAAATAACCCTGCTTAGGGTTAGGAATTTTTTTTTTTATTAATCACACTGCTTAGTGGTGGGGTTGGCCCCAAAAAATAAATAAATAAGTATATAAATCACACCGTTTAGGGTTAGAAAAAAATTGTCATAAAATCAAAATATTTCTGGGAAAGTAAGTACTTGGATGCAGCTGGAAGGGCATCCACTGTGTAAAGCATATGCTGAATAAGTTGCCGGTTCATTCCGCTATGGTGACCCCTGATTCATAAAGGATAAAGCCGAAGGAAAATGAATGAATGAATTATTATGATTAGTGACTGAAACTTATTTAAGTTATATCTCATCTAATATTATACAGTTGAAGTCAAAATAATTAGCAATTCTATGATTTTTTAATTATTTTGAAACATAATTTTAATAACTGGCATATAACAAATAACACTTGGAGGTCAAACACGCCCGGGCACGATTCATATAGCCTAGTGTAAGTACACTCTAAAACTGCACATTTATAATGCCTCTTAGTCGCTGACATTATCTTCAGCAGGTATGGTTTAAAAACTCTAATGACGGATGGCTGCTTCTCACTCAGGTCTGTCTATGCTAATGAGCAAGAGATCATCACTAATGGGCGGAGCTTTCCCCCTCTGATGACACGTACAATGGGAGAATGCCAATCAAAGTGTTTCTGCAGCTGTTTTTATCAGGTGTGATTATAAAAAGTAAATTAATCTTTACCATTAGAGGTGGCTATATTCACACACTGTGGGCACACAACTGTGCTTTAACTCCTTATAAAAGTGATTTTTGCATGATAGGTCACTAAATAAAATTATTAAATGATTACCACTATCTGCTGATTCGGTCGGGCCAGATTCTCCTTCAGAGTCTGAGTAAAATGGCTTCTCCACTTTCTTCTCCTTACGATCCTTCCGGCTTGTGCATTTGCTCCACTCTGGAATCTACAAAAAGTGGCAAAACACCATCAACATGAGCTCAAATACGCATGGACAACCTAATCAGAGAGAAAGAGGTTCATATAACGGCCATGAATGCCTCTTTACAAGAAGCAAGCGTCTTCGTTTATACACTAATATAATTACTGTTGTTGAGACTCGCTCAGCGTTTGGTTACTACAGCAGGGAAGGTTTGTGCATTCATGGCCACTTTCATTTTCCTTGTGAATGCTGAGACGTTTAAATTAAAGAAATCACATCCTTAAAAAAAAGACCCCCAAAAAGACCTCCAGGACTGAATTACGCAAGACCAACTTTCCTTTGAAGTAAAAAAATGCATGTTTGGAGAATGAATTAGCGATTAGCAATTAGCATCAGCGCTGTAGGCTATTTCTGAGGTGCCTTTTTATTTCAGGATTCTTGTCTTTAATCGTAGAGCAAGGGCTGAGGAAAGGGAAAGGCTGACTAGCACAGTACAGATGCTACGCTAGGCTGGTGGCAAAAGCTCTTTGGGTCTGACGCTAAGGGTGACTGACAGACTCACGCTGGTTAAAGTGGTGACTCTTTCGAGCAGCCTAATAACCTGGCAAACAGGAAAGAATAAAAAGAAACGCAAGAATGATGCTGTGAGATGGCCAGAAGAAGAGGAAAGAAAAGAAACAGAACAGAACAGAACAGAAAAAAGATTTTAAAAAGTACACACAAGGATTCAGGTTGCACTTGTCAACAAATTAGCATGTGTATTACGTCCACGATTGGCTAACAGCTTCAGGTGAAGCAATGGAAAGATTAAGACCCGTTCGCACCAAGGACGATATCTTTAACTCAAATTTAAGAAAATATTTTCAGCCAATCAGAATTCATCCTACCTTAAAGAGCTTGAGCATTTAAAGCTGCGGACAACAGAACTGCAATGGACACTTTTAATAACAGGCAGAATGTCATTGCTAGCATGAATCCTAACTTATCAACTATAGACAGAATAATGATAAAGTTGCATTTTTTCCCTGTTAGTAACTAAAAAAGCATACTATATACTGTATAATAAGTATATATATTCTATTGCGTAAAACATACGCTGCATAAAACATATGCAGAAATATTTGGCGGTTCATTCCGCTGTAGCAACCCCTCAAAAATAAGGGACTAAGCTGAAGGAAAATAAATGGATGAATACTATATATATATATATATATATATATATATATATATATATATATATATAAGGGGGCGTCGCATCAAACCCCGCCCCTTTTATTGTCGTAAATTGACTAAACTAGTATACTAGTTTAGTCAATTTTCGACAATAAAAGGGGTGGGGTTTGATGCCACGCCCCCTTTTAAAATCGTCAATTGACTGAACTTGTACAAATTAAGCCAAGTTTCATTGGATGATAAGCAAACCGTACTAAAATGTAGTAATAAAATCATACAAATTCATACAAATTAGCCACTAAATCAAAAAGTTACGAATTGCCAAAAGATAGCTTGGACACTTATAATAACAGGCAGAATGTCATTGCTAGCGTGGATGCTAACATATTTATCAACAGTGACAAAATAATGATAATGTTGTGTTTTTTTCCTGCTAGTAACTAAAATAGCATACTATTTATTATATAATAACAATATATACTATTGCGTAAAACATACGCTGCGTAAAACATATGCAGAAATAGTTTGCGGTTCATTCCGCTGTGGCGACCCCTGATAAATAAGGGACTAAGCTGAAGGAAAATGAATGTATGAATACTATATACACTTTATGGTTTGTAAATTGTAAATATCAGTAAATTTAGTGGTCCTGGTATGAACAGACCTTAATTCTATTAGCACACCACAACTATAACACTATTTAGTATACTAAAAATACTATAACAAAGCTACAACTATAACTATTATAACAAAAACGACACAGATCAATGATACTGCGTAGAAACGTAAAAACAAAATCCCAGTCCACTCCCTATTAAAATGCTCAAGCATTTAAAGCAGTTGACGAAATTAAACTGCTCAGATTTTTGCTCAGAATAAACTGTTATTGCTAGCGTGGATGCTATTATAGTTATTATTACAGGTATCGTTCCTGGTGTGAACTTCAGAGGGGAATTCACTAAACATCAATTTACATTCGAGTTGCTTCAGCAATCAATTCAACATGCAAATTACGTAATTCGTGTATCAGCGAAAGTAAGTCCACAAATTCAACACAATTCACAACAATTTTTGGGTACTATGAATGTGGCAGATTTGGCGTATTTTACTAAGACGCTCGCAGATAGTCTAAATTATATTGCTTTATTCATTCAACTAAGGCTCACAAATATATCAACAATGCTGTTTAGCGCCTCCAGTCATAGATAAATTCTTACAGGCAATGTATACGCAGGTGTATACGAAAAAAAAGTACGCAAAAGTGTCCGTTTAGTGAGTTCACCCCTTCGTTTAGAGTTCTCTAATCATGTACTCAATATGTCAATAACAAATCAGCATTACGAGTGATGCTTTGCTGAGCATTTGGTGTCACAGTAATGGAAGTGCAACATCAATATGACGGTTTCTGATGGCTTGCATGGCAGGAAATGAGGTCAGCAGATTTCAGAGTGACACACGCAAAACACACGCACACTTTTAGTAAAGTAAGGTGGAAAGAGAGAGAAGCCACTGCACTCTTGTGTGCACCTCTCTCCAGTCTCCCAAAAGACCGATTCGACCCTCACTGGTGTCTACCACCTCCTCTTGCTGGATAATATGGTGGATGGGAAACATAAACAGACAGAGATGCGGATGAATGCCGGAGGGGGATAAAACGCATAGAAATCTGCTGGGAATGATGAGTGCGTGATGAAAGAACAAACAGGATTATGCAGACAAAAACCTGAGCTGGATTTTCAAGACCCTGACCGATCAGTGTGCGGTGCAGACCTCATGCATATGCAAGGTTTGATCATGGAATATTAATCAGGAAGGAGTGGCTTGTGTGAATGTATGCAGGTGTGTTTATATAGTCGGCTCTCAGTGATTGAAAGGAAAATTCTAGAACCACAGTTCTAGGTTCTGAAAGACTTGATAGAATTGCAGAATTTGGTTTGGAATGTTAAGCCTCTAAAGATCAATTTTGACATCATAAAGCGCAACAGTCGGGTTTCAGAAGTAAGAACTCCATTAAATTTCTTCCTACACTGCAAAAAAAAAGTGCTTTTCTTTCTTTTCTGAAAATGTTCTAGTCCAAATATTTAAAAATTATATTTTAAATCAAGAAGCATTTTCTAGACAAGCATAAAATATTAAATTAAGTGAGTTTTTCATCAGAATAAACAGCAAAAGTATGTCTAAAGGCTGATTTATACTTCTGCGCTGACGTGCACCTCTCAAAAAATTTAACTACACGTGGCAACGACGCGTAGCGCAAGCTCTGTGATTGGTCGGCTTGGTAGCGTTGACGAGTTTGGGCGGGACCGAGAGCCACGTGAATGGTGCGAGCCTGATGGAGCGATTGTTTACAAGTGTGGAGTCCCCTGAAGGAGCTCCGGATGGAAAGTTTTGTTTTGTGTTTACCTCTTAACACAAGTTGTTACACGTCTGCCGGTTCCTGCCTCAAAATGAGCGAGTTTGAGCCACTTGTACATCCCGGAAGTGTTCAGGAAAAGCAAAACAGCAGCGAAGAAACTTGACACAGAGGAACATTTACACCTCACTGCCAACTAGCGTTTCGGAAGTGTTAATGCAGACCAACAGAAACAGCGCGCAGAAGTATAAATGTACAGCTACGGGCGTTGCAAGCGCCGTGGGTTACGCCGGTCACTTGACGTAGAAGTATAAACCAGGCTTAAGTCGCAGTAAGCAAAGTGCGCCATATAAAATTCTTAGCTCCATCCACTCTAATGAAGCATAACGTAACTGAATCTTACTACAATCTTAAAGTATTTTAAAACTTTAAATTAGCATATTTCTATAGACACAATCAACAACCTTATTTTAATAATTTTAATTTTCTTCATATTTTTAAAAGCGACATATAAAATTGGGCCAAATTTTAAATGCACCAAACTTACGGTAAGAAAAGGTATTAATATACAGGTGCATTGTAAATTTTGACTTTAATATTGGAATCCACGCAGAAAAACTTCATTACTTATAATGCTTAAATAAAATTTCACCAATGAGATAGTCGCAGCTAACAATGCGCGCTTAATAAGATGCTTTGCTCCGCCCACTCTAATGAAGCATGAAGTAATTGATTCTTACTACAATCCTAAAGTACTTTAACACTTTAAATTAGCATATTTTTATAGACACAATCAACAACCTTAAATTAATCATTCTATTCTCATCTGTAATTTTAAATGCGCCATTTAAAATAATTGCGGTAAGTTATAACTTACGGTAAGAGAAGGTATTAATATGCAGTTGCATTGTAAATTTTGACTTTAATAGTGGAATTGACGCAGAAAAACTACATTACCCATGATGCTTAGAGAAAATTTTACCAAACAGAAAGTCGCAGTAAGCAAGGTGCGCCAAATAAGATTCTTAGCTCCGCCCACTCTAAAAGAATGAAGTAATTGAATCTTATTACAACCCAAAAGTACTTTAACATTTTAAATTAGCATATTTCTATAGACACAATCAACAACCTTAAATTAATCTTCTTTTTCTTTTTACATTAATTAAAATGTATAAATGAAATTTAACTGCATCATTCGCAATGCTATATGGGATTTTCCTCATTAAAGCCATTGTGTACACCAGCTTCGAATCATAGTTTGTAATCTTGTGATTCACCTCATTCCTGATTGGTCTAGTTTGAAGCTATTTTTCTTTTATAACCCGACTGTTGCGGTCTATTAATCGATAATAACTAAAATAGCTTTTCCAAATCCACCAATAGGGCTGCAGGATGAATCGTTACCACCCCGTTGGAATGCAGAGTGTGTGATTTATGCATCATGAGGGTGGAGTTATGCTAATGAGCGGGGAGAGTGAGCGATATAAAAGTGATTGAGCGTAGCGTGTTTTTTTGTCAGTGCTTTGGGGCGTTTCTTTGGGAGGTCTTGCATGTCGGAGCTCCCTCTGGTGGTCTGTAGGAGAAGCACTGGCCCTGCCTCTGTCAGAACTGTTCGCCCTGCACACACAGAATCCTTCACCTCCACGTTGCGCACGGACGGGTCAGGCGCTGATTCGGGCCAGTCGGGCAGCTCTTGGTATCCGGAGGCCTTAGCGTTCAGCAGGTGAGACAGTGACCCCAGCTGGAAGTGATCTCTGTCTGCAAAGATACAGTTGAAGCCATTTCTAATAACTTATTTATTTTATCTTTGCCATGATGACAGTAAATAATATTTTACTAGATATTTTTCAAGACACTTCTATACAGCTTAAACTTCTCTAAATTTAAAGGCATAATAATTACTTGAACCTGCCTAATTAACCTAGTTAAGCCTTTAAATGTCACTTTAAGCTGAATACGAATATGTTGAAAAATATCTAGCCAAATATTATTCACTGTCATCATGGCAAACATAGAGTAAATCAGTTATTAGAAATGAGTTATTAAAACTATTATGATTGGAAATGTGTTGAAAAAAATCTTCCTTGTTTAACAGAAATTGGGGGAAAATACACAGGATGGGCTAATAATTTAGACTTCAACTGTAGCTATTAAAATAATAACAAAAATTAATAATAATAAAAATGTAATACATTTAATGGAAAATAATGGAAATGAAGCAAAAATATTTTTAAAAACCTGGTATATGCAAATATAAAATATTAATCATTTGCAAACAAAAACTAATTATAAATAAAATATGAAACTTTTGTTAAAAGTACATTTATTTTTCTTTTATTTTTTGTTGCTATTTTTAAGCATCGAATAACTTAATTTAGCTTCTTTTTAAACTACAATAATAATAATTTATAACATTTCCTAAATTTGATTATAATGCAATAATGTGCACCTTTAGTAAAGCTGCTTATAAACAATAATTATTTTGAAAGAAGTGCTATACAAATAAACTTAAATTAAATTGAATTGAATAATGGAAATGAAATATAATGGAAAATTAAGCTAAATATTATATGAAAAATATTTTGCAAAACCTGGTATATGCAAATATAAAATGTGAAAATTTAGCAAAAACAATGACAATAAATGATAAAATATGAAAACTTTGTTAAAAGGAAAAAAATATATATTTTCTTTTCTCCATTTGCGGATTTTTTTTCTATTTTTAAGCATAGAGAAACTTAATTGAGCTTTTTTAAAAGGCAATTTTAGACTTAATTAATCTTGTTAATTGTTTAGACAGTTTAATGAAAAACAACCAAAAAAAAAGAAAAAGAAAATAAATATTAAGTGTAATAAAAAAAAATTTTGACTGAAAAAGAATGATGTCTTGATTGTTTTTGTATGTACAGTCAAGCCTTAAATAATAAAAAAAATGTTTATTTTATTTTATTTATTTAATATTCATTCATTCATTCATTCATTTTCTTGTCGGCTTAGTCTTTATTAATTCGGGGTCGCCACAGCGGAATGAACCGCCAACTTATCCAGCAAGTTTTTCGCAGCGGATGGCCTTCCAGCCGCAACCCATCTCTTGGAAATTATTTAATAATAATAAAAATAATAATAATAATATTTTTTTGCTTGACTGTATATATATTTTCTCAAATCTCTAAAACCTGAAATTAAGCTAAAAACTGTCTGCAAATCAAATGTTCTCATGGACCCTTATCGTATTTCTGTTTTTTTTCAGTAGTGGAAGTTGTAGCTAAACTTAGAGCGCAGTGAATAGAGTCCAACATTTTTTTTACAACCCTATTTGCTGAAATAATAAAAGAAAAACTCCATGATGGTGTTATCAAGACTTTCCGAAAGAGGAAAAAAAATGTGACTGATAACCGCAGCCAGAGGAGAGAATAAAGTCAAATTTACTCTCAACCTCATAGACGTTGCATTAAAAATGCCTCACATAAGAGGTGATTCATTTTTGTAATTTGGCGCAAAGATGATAAAATACATTCATAAATACATGAAAATGTTCACATGATTTTTAAAAAATCTAAATATTAAAAACTTTCAAGGATATAAGATTATGATGACCGTTAAACGGGTCATCACAGGCTTGTGAAAAGGGTCCATTATGAACTTGCATATTTCCAATCAGATCGATTGTTTGCCTTTAACCTCAATATGTGTGTTAAGATTAAGAGTGACTTTAGGAGAAACATCTGAACTGATCTCAATACTGATCTCAATACTGAATGCTGACTTTATAATGCTACAAATGAATGTAAACTATAAAGGATCTGACTGTACCTTTAAATGGAGACTCCAGGACGGGAGCAGGCTTCAGTGCAAGGAAAAGCTTCTTGGCGTATTTGCTGAGAGCGCCGCTCTTATCGGTGGGCACAATGAGTTGGCGGATGAAGCGGGCACGATCTCTGATGTCGTAGTTTTGGTCATATTTTGCCAGGTTCAGTACATACTGAGTCAACAGCTTAGTCTGAAAATTCAAAGTAGACCTCAATCTTACTTTACTACACTCTTACAATTTTACTTTATTTAACACTGAAAAATACATTTGTCTAAATATGAAAAATATTTAATATATAATATAATATAATATAATATAATATAATATAATATAATATAATATAATATAATATAATATAATATAATATAATATAATATAATATAACAGAATTTATAAT